TCAGGAACAGGGTAGAAAGGACGGACTGGGTCTTTCTCTCCCATCTACGGGGCTTCAGGGACTTCACTGGTTGTCCATGGTTCTCGATTTCCTCATTTGGGAAATAGGGAATATATGAGATGTATTTTGCAGATTCCAATGTACTAACATAAAAACAAAGGCTATGTGATCCTGTCATTATTTTGTCCATCAACCCCCACCTAAGTTCTACTTGCCAATTTCACTGGCTTCTGAATTGATTCACAGTGCCATTTCTGGATAAAAACATACGTGAGGGTGTTCAGCCATCTGTGATTAACTGTCACAGAATCCCTTTCGATGGTATTAATTTCAAGGTCTTTCTTCTTGACCTTACAGGGCCCTCTGTGACCCTTTCTCACATCTAGGATATAACTATGTCCTTTGTTCTCTGTTGATATTTCAGATCCTAGCTCCTGGCCCATTGCTTCAGCCTTTGTGTGGTATTTCAGTAGGAAATACAATACAGGTAATACTCAGCCTGGTCTATTCTTTGAAAAATTCCATATTTTTGCTGTATGTGAGGCTGCCTTTATTTCTCCCTTATAAAACATCTACTGCTCTTTGAGGGTTGCATTACTTTAAGAAGTGGCCATACTCATAAAATACAGCTTTTGGCACTTTCTAGATTCTTTCTTTCCTGTGTTTTAATCTTTACCCAGACCATCAGTTTGATATTTTTGATATGAATTCATTTCCTTTTAATTTTTATTCTCATGACAATTTCCTTATCATGTTGCCATGGTTGGAAGGGAGAAGCAGGCCATTATTATTACTAAAACTCAAAAGTGTCTAAGGCAAGGAGCTATTGGAAGTGGGTCGTTGCTGGGAAGAGAGAACCATTCTTTATTCAGAATGCGGCCTCTGGTAGTTTTCCCTTACTCCAGTGGATGGTCCCACACCATGCACATATGGGCAACAGTGACTGGATTTAGTAGTAAAGGCACAAAGCTACACAGAGAAACCCTGTCTCGAAAAACCAAAAAAAAAGGACATAATTTTGAGAAATAAGGTATATTGGGGAATATGGGAAGAATTGGAGGGGATAAGTAAAGTGTATATATATTTCATTGTACACATGCATGGAATTCTCAAAATAAAGAACAAATTAAAAGAAATCAATGGTGCTTATGAATGATAGATTAAAGCACAAACACAAACCAAAACAGAAAAAAAAATCCCCTTTTCTTTATTTTAAGATATGGTTCATAATAAATAACAACAAAGAAAAGTCAGGCTTTTTCTCCCCCAAATACATTACATAATGAAGCCTTTAAGTTCTATTTATGTCAGAGCATTAGATATGGTCTAGTTATCTACAAGATTTGCTGGCATCTTGTTATTGGGCAGGTTCATTAACTTTTCTCAAGTTGAGCTTGCCCATCTCCAGGTAGAGGCATGAATGAAAAACACCTCTCCTAACACAGCAAAAATAGAGTCTCCATTTTATTTACCTACAATGCAATGTGTGACATACAGGAGGTGCTTAATAAGAGAGAACCATGATACCATACAGCAAGATTTCAGGCTATCATAACATATCTAAAGAATAACCCCAATGTGTGCAATGTGATTCAATGTAAACAGTTACCATTTCAGTCAAATGTTTATTTGATATTACACAACGTCACAGTTACCTTTAGCTGTCAACTTGACATACATCTAGAGTCATCTTGGGACAGGAAACCTCACTGAAGAATTGCCTACATCAGATTGGCCTGTGGCCATGCCTGTGAGGCTTTTTCTCAATAGGTAATAGTGTCCATAGTGTCCCAGACAGTGTTCGTGTACAGACACTGGACAGGTGGGACTGAGTGGTAAGGTGGCTGAGCAAGCCACAGAAAGCAAGCTAGTAAGCAGCATTCCTCTATGGTCTCTACTTCAGTTCCTGCTTTGTTCCTGGCTTACCCCAGTGACGGAGTATGATCTGAGAATTGTGAGAGGAAACATTATCTTTTCCTCCCCAAGTTGCTTTTGGTCATGGTGTTTATCACAAAAACCCCCCCCAAAAACAACAACAATAACAAAAAACAACCAGAAAGCAAACTGGAGCATATAGTAGGCTAGACTGTGCAAGATCTGAACTCTAACAATATTGTGCTCATTAGTTATTATGCAAACAGGTAGAGATAAGGATAAATATGGGAAAGACAGTCAACACAAATTATTACTATGTATATGTTTAAAAAGTATGTTTGTATATTAGTTTGAGATCATTTAAAACATGACATATAAAATGTGTTCTGCTGTTGTTAGATTATTAAACGGTGCAATTTTATTTCTTTTCTGACTAGGTGTTGCTGCCAATAATGGTAATGACATTACTTTCTGTGTGGTTAATGTCCATGTTGGCTTTGGCACTAGATGAACAAATGAAAACACAGTGTATCATACATTATCAAGCCTCAGTGTTTCTCAGATGCTAGAGCCCTGTGGTTTACCAGAGGATGTCTACCCGAAGATGTATACAGCAGCACTCGGTCAGGTCTCCAGGAAATTCAGAAGCAGAGTGTGAGTGGGTGGGCTCTAGGCATACACCTAGCTCTCTCAATTGCCCTATGAAGCATAGACATCCAGAGAGGAGCCCAGAAGCCCCAGTGATTCATTGGCCTGGAGCTGGGTTCTAACTGCATTCTCTGTAAGTGTCCTAGTGTCCAGGTACATCACATTACAGGTTCATCAAAGAGCTTAGTCACCAGGGAGGGACACTTTTGGACACGATCAGTCATTTGGCTGGAAACATGTGCCCCAGGGTCTATAGAAGGGATGATGGAGTCATAGAAGCATTCCAGACACTGACTTGACGCTTGAGGATACAGAATCTCGGAGGTCAGTGAGCATGACTCACGTTGATATATGAGGTCTAGGCCTCTTCCTCTCTATGTCAAAAATCTGTCCCTCAAATATGCCCGAGTTTCCATGACCAGAACGCTCCACCATAAAAATAAACACCAACATTTTGGAGAAACTTCAGTGTTTACATTTGAAATCAAATCTGTCACATACACTGGGCATGCTTTGCTTCCATTCATAGGCCTTTCTGAGAATCAATCTATATGTAATGTTATTATGGGCATCAACTTACAGTAAGAATGCTGTACATTGCTTTCTGAGCTTTTTTTTTGTTTTTCGAGACAGGGTTTCTCTGTGTAGTTTTGTGCCTTTCCTGGAACTCACTCTATAGCCCAGGCTGGCCTCGAACTCACAGAGATCCGTCTGGCTCTGCCTCCTAAGTGCTGGCATTAAAGGCATGCGCCACCACCATCCGGCACTTTCTGAGTTCTTTAGTCTGCAAAGTGTTTAGAATGTAGGTATATGATTAACTCAGAGCACTCCTTTCTTGGTTTTCTACAGGAAATGTTATGTGCAAGGACGGAGCCCACACCGATGGCACAGCAGGAGAAGATGAATTATTTCAGCAGAGAGTAAAGGTTTTCCACTAGACATGCAAGGCTCCAGAGATTTGCATTTATGTAGGTATAATAACTAATTTTAAATTTTAGCACCTGAAATGAATTCTATCTCTCTCATCTTTCTATCATCATCATCATCATCATCATCATCATCATCACTCTCTCTCTCTCTCTCTCTCTCTCTCTCTCTCTCTCTCTCTCTCTCTGTCTACCTATCTATCATCTATCTATCCAACTTACCTATTCTATATGAAGATTTTTCATAGTTTAAAGTGAGCTCAGGATCACTAATGTATCTGGTTAACAACACTACAATAGTTTTACCACTGTGAGGCGGAAGAAACCTACTTGCAAATCCTAGTAAGGAAAGCCTCCTTGTCTAGCATAAGACCGGATACAGTGCCTCGTAACCTTCTTCCTGTCCCCAAAGTCCCATTGGCTTTCTGAAGTTGTTCTAGTTGTATATTTCACAAAACAAGCTTTACAGCAGCATAAAAGACATTGGTTAGCCCCAGGAAACAAGGGATGGAATTATTAAAAACCTGACTGTGAAGGCCATGGAGAGAACACCAAGCCGGCACTTCCCATGGTGAGTTTCTCCAGCCAGTATCCCCACCATATCTCATGCAGTCTGTGGCCAGCATGGAGAAAGTAAGCACGGTGAGCTCCCAGGCAGACTCAGTGCTCAGCCACCCTAACAGAAAAAGCAGGGTGCACAACAATGGGCCTTTAGAAAAGAGCCCATCCAAGTGGAATTTTATTTGACAGTTTAAAGTGTTAAAAGAAATATGAACTGCTAAGACAGAAGAAAAACAAAACCATTAAGTGGTCTTTTATTCTCTCTGATGTGTTATCAACTCACTTTGAAAAAGGTGCCAGTTTCTCTGTCACCACACAATGTCATGTCCACATTACATTCTGTGTGCCTGGGAGCCCAGCAAAGGGTAATTCATTCCTTTCCTCAGACCAATTGCAGTGACCAAAGTCTTCTAGGTGCAAGATTTTTCCATAACTCTGTATTTAGAACTGGAAAATTCTTCAGTTTATTCCAAATGTGAATACTTAATTCAAGTACTTTAAATTTCCACCATGCTCTCCACATTCTCATTAACATGAGACACTTGCATGCCCTCTAAAGTTTCAGAACCTTGGGGACTGGAACAAAACAGATCTAGTATTTAAGGAGCATTTAATGTTTATAAAATATATAGTGTCTGCAGAATTGACATTTAAAGAGGAGCTAGTGTGTGAGATCACAAAAACAAAACAAAACAAACAAAAAAACAAGAAAAGAAGAGCATTCAGTATCTGCCTACTTCATGTCTATACATCATGCAGGTTCTGCAAAGTACAAAGGTTTGCAGACTATCCAGTGCAAAAAACATCCAGTATTGGCAGTCGGTTAAGTGTGAGCACAGTCCCCTAGTCAGACAGCCTAGTCCTAATGTCTACCAAGAGTGTTAAGCATCTAGTGTGCTGAGAGCATCTTGCGTGTGTAGAACATCCAGGAGGTTTCAAGTCTGGGTCCTCAGCTCTGGATTGTGGGTTGGGAGTGAGGTGGTCACTTACCACATTACATCCTGCACAGTCAGGCCCATTTTCACAGGTCCTACGACGGGCTTGAATGCCACCTCCGCACTGGGCCGTGCATCGCTCCCAAGGTCCCCAGCCTGTCCAGAACACGTGTGGCGGGCAGAGCAAATGTTCATTGCAGTATCTGTAACAAGGAAAACCCAGAGGAAAAGGAGACAGTTTAGTGTCACAGGAGGCCACTAGCCATATTGCTTCCCATCCCTGTGCCAGATGTTGGACAGATGGGCATGCTCTGCATGAGAGGCTTTCTGTATCTGGAGTGCTTGCACCATACAGGAGGCAGAGGGGTACTGGCCATGCTGAGTGCGCACAGACAATGGGATACATGGCAGACAGCGAAGAGAATGCTGAACTCACAATGCAGGATGGAACTTCCTGTGCAGCCAAGTAAAGGAGAAACAAGACAGAACAAAACCCTTCAATAGACACCCCAAAACAAGAGCAAACAGAAAGTATCTAGGTAGGACATTTATCTGCTAGGCATAAACATCAAAAGATAACGTCGGTTATGAATTCAAAGCCAGCACAGCTTTGCTTGGAGTTTCTTATCTTTCAATCAAATAAGTTGACAATCTTCTGAAGACAAAGACTTAGAGCATAAGCTTGGCCCGAAGGCCCTGACACTTGCTACTTAGCTGATGTTTTTAAGTTTTTCTTTTAAGTTCTCAGAACAACTTTAAGTGATTTCCAGTCAAAGGGCCACAGATTGCTAAATATCTGATTACTATATTTTTACAAATGTCAGGACTACTTTACAGTAGTTAATTTCTGCACTTCTATACATACATCCACTTTGCCAGTTTTGAAGTTGAGTGTCCCAGCTGGTCTCTGGCCCTCTGATGACTTAGGTTTCCTGAGGTCTTTAAAACTGTGTATGCAATGGAGTGAAGCGAAAGAAAGAAACACACAAACACAGGGGAAATGGATTGGCGTTCTACAAGCGATCGCCGATACAGAGGAAGAACTCAACCTTGAATGCAGTCACATTTAACGGCAACTTGGGTGATTTACAGGATTATTTACATTCATTTGTCCATCTACTGAATCCAAACTTCGCCTCTCGGGAGGATCAAAATACAAGACTCTTTCCTCATATCTTTCTCACTTGCAAGGCCATCTTCTTTAAGAAAGAGGCAACAAAGATTCAGACCTACGGGCCTAAGCCAGTGACCTTCATGTCACCATTGTTAATAACAAGTGGATTGTGTGGAGTGCTATGCAAGGGGAGTCGCAGAGGGATTGCTGAACCGGTGCTCACAGTCTCAGATGAATAAACAAAGTCGATACACTCTCAAAATGTGCACAGCGCAAAACACCATCACGACTCACAGTGATACTGCTATCATTCACAGGACCCTGAAACTGCACTGGACACTCCAATTGAAATGCATTCTGAAGTAGGAAAGGAGAGAAATGGTGACCAGAAACCATGAAGGGAATTGTGCGATTTCTCAACAGATACTCTGGTAAGGTCCGGTGTCTTCCATAGAAACAGATGGAAACCTGATGGAGGATAGGAGACTTTGGGAATGAGTACAAGGTATGAAGAGGAAAGGCCAAGCTGAAAGATGATGGTGGGATGAGGGGTAGAGAGTACTTACTGGAGTTTCGGATGTTGATTAAAGGCACAAAGAGAGAATCAAGCAAGAAAGGTGACCGTGTTGAGAGGAGAACAGAAAGAGATGACACGCGATAGAATGGTCCACCTTTGCCAAACAGTGAAAAACCAAAAACCAAAACAAAACAAAGAAAGCCTCATAGAACTCTATGAGCAAACCAGCACCGCCAGAGTGAGACCGAAGACGTCTCATGGCATCTCATCGCACTGGTGGCCAAAGCCCCCAAACTTGAGAAGCTCTCTGCGTTCACTCTGGAGTCTGAACCTCAGGGGCGGCCACGAGCAGGAAGAGCCAATGTAGTAAACACTAACCACTGAAGTCTGCGCTGCAGCAATGAGAAAGAGAAACACTGTGGGTTAGCTAGGATGCTGGTGGAGAGGTGGGGAGGGTGAGAAGTGGACGGCGCTGGGCACGGTGGGAACATCTTAAAGCAACTGTGTGAATGCATAGAAGAATAGCCAGTGGAGTCCAGAGCCAGCACTGCAGTTCAGGGAGAAGCAGTGGGCAACATCATAGCTTAAGGAGCCTCTAGATATTTAAGTACTACCCAAGGTTAGCATCTATGAACTTGGACATATGGAATAGCCAGTGGCTCTGTGTATTTTTTACTCTTTGTCTTTGCAGTATTTACCCTAGAAAAAAAATACATGGTATTGTTCTAAAGATGGTGGCACACACTCCTGATGCCTTGGCTCCTATGGTCAAAGCCACTGGATACTCTTATAGGTCCATCTGGAGAAGGAGGGATCTTCTAAACAGGGAAGAGAGAGAAAGGGACAGAGACAGAAAGAGGCAGAGAAGGCAAGAGACAGAGACAGAGACAGATGTAACACGAATTATGAAATGATCTTATTAATAAAAAAAAACTGGAGCCAGATATTGGGGTAAAAGCTGAAAGATCAGAGAAACAGAACATGCCACGGCCAACCCCACCTCGCCAACTCCTCAGCTGGTCTTGTTTCCTCAGACTGAAAGCCTCTGAGTCCTCATCCGAATCGATCTCAGCTGAACTGCTTTAGCCAGTGGCTTACCTCGACAAAATCCTCACTTTAATGAGATCAAGTTCCTGTTTCCTCATGCCTTATATACCTTTCTGTGTCCTGCCATATTACATCTTGGGATTAAAGGCATGTGTGCTTCTCAGTACTGGGATTAAAGGAGTGTGTCACCACTGCCTGGCTCTGTTTCCAGTGTGGCCTTGAACTCAGAGATCCAGACAGATCTCTGCCTCCCCACTGATAGGATTAAAGGTGTGTGCCACCACTGTCTGGCCTCTACGTCTAAACTAGGGGCTAGATAAGCTTTATTGGGGTGCACAATATATCACCACAGACACTGATAATCAGAGACATACATATACATACGACAGCAAGAGAGGGAGAGAGAAAGAGAGGTGGGGGAGGGGGAGAGAAAGAGAGAGAGAGAGAGAGGTCTCTAGATATAATAGTGAATTAAGAGAAAAGTAAGGACTTAGAATTTTCTTGTAGCAAGTCTCTAAAGAGGTCTGGAGTAACAGTAAGTAAATATTCATGTATATGTTGGTGCTTGGAGAGTTCCAGGAAAGAGCTGCTATTTATTTTGAGAACAGGTTTTGAGAAGTCAGGAAAACTCAGAACATTTCACATTTAATTCAAAATATCCACATGCAGTTCACAAGAGGGAGAACAAGAGAAAAGAAGACATCTCACACTTATAAGCCAACTCACTGATATTTAAATGTATGAGTTCTTTATACTGCTTTCCCCTAGTTTCAATTTTCAATGAACACAGATGTGGGAACTCACAGGCACACACACACACACACACACACACACACACACACACACACACACACACACACACACACACACACCAGAAAATGCAAAGGAAATCCTACTAAAAATGCCTATAAAGTCCCTGACTTTTAATAAAGAGCACAGTAGCTGTGCTACCATTTCCCCAGAGCAAAATAAATCAGCATGCACAAATACTTTCTTGTATTTGCCTGCAGCAGGCCACCTCTGAGAATGCTCAGCATGTTGTTACAGTTAAAAATCTCCTGCAAGGTCACCTGTGCATGGAACTCTGGACTTTGAACTAGTGTTAACCAACTATGCCTTGGGCTGGGACTTAAGGCCACCAACAACCCACTTACCTTTTCTCTCTTTCTCGCTCTACAGTTCTCCTGTGAAACAAACTACACAGAGATTTGTAGAGGCAATAGCCTGTAACAGGAATGGTCAGAGGGAAACAGAAATGGCTGGGCTCTATCTTTATGAAGAATTCCAACTTAGTGGGGTTGTTTGGAGGCTGGACCCTGCCAAGGCCCCCGGTCTGGATTCTCTTCAATGATGAGACACATGTTTTCTTTCTGCGCCCCCTTGCCTAACCCATGCTCCCACAGGCAACCTCCTTAGTGAGCTGTACAAGCAGTAGTGAGAGAAAGCAGCTACACTGGTATCTCTGGTATCGTTATTAATTATGGATAAATATTTGCCCGATGGGTCATCATTTGGTTCCCATTTCCCCAGTCCCCTGGCTTTTAAAACAACAGGATAATGTCTTTAACATATTCCTGGCTCTATAGGGTCTTCAGTGTCTGAAAGCAGGAGCCACAGACACATTTTATGGTGCATTAAAAATTAGGATTTTCATTTTTCTCATGACTGCTGTTATTTTACTTATAAAAGCTTACTAATAACCTAACATTGCCTCTCTATAAATCATCGTTTTTTTTTCCATAAACCTACTTTCTCTAAAAATAATGGCATTTGTAATTCCATTGAGGCTAGATTCACAGCACTGATGCTCTCTTCTCCTCATATTTCCTTCTAATCTGGTTGAGCCTATGCTAGTTCCTCCAGACAATCTGCGAGCCCCACCTCACTGAGGCCTCTGAAGGAACTGTTTTTCTTAGTTCACATTTCCTGGCTTCACAGGACCATACTGGAAGAATTAAGTCTTTTTTGGCACCAGAGAACCATGCATCCACTAAACACACCATGAGGTTTAAGATAGCACACCAGGAAAGAGTGGTAACTTTGGTATTAGGCATCACTTTAGCTCATCACAGAACAGTAACATTTCCAATAAGACAAGAATAAGATACATTATTATGAGTCCCTGAGACCCTTAACTTGATGACCTATTGGGCAGTCTCTGATATGAGTTCATGCTCTTTACCTTTCAGAACTCACAACTCGCGTTCTCCCTGAATATGGGTGAGGCTTATCACTTACAGGTACCAGAACAGGTGGCTGTCACTTCTGTGGTTATGTCACATAATATTATAATGGCTTTATTTCAAGAATGCTTCCCTTTCTGGCTTTAAGGAAGCAGACAATGGGGTAAGTTGAGGAGGAGACAGATGCACCAAGAAACTGAAGCCCTCAGCCTGACAGCCCAGCAGACGTGAAGGCTGCCCACAACAGTATAATTAAGGAAGCAGACCCTGGTCTACGTGTGCATCAGAGGACAAAGCCATGGCTTCTTACTCCAGCCTCCCGATAACCTGCATCCACAATGGCAAGGGGGTTGTGTCCAGGCCAGGAACTCTACAGACACACAAGCAGCTTTACACAGTAAAGTGTGTAGTCATAACGTGCACTCTGAAACAAGCCAGGTATCATGGAACACAGTGACAATGTGAGAGGCACCGAAAAAAGCATTGAACATGGCTCTCAGACCCAGAAACAGGTAGAAGGGAGGATTCTGAGAAGCAGAAGCACAGAAAATTCCCAGTCACTTTATGTGGAGTATTAGAAACTTAGACATTGTAGAAAGTGATGGGTATAGTGGGTAGCCATTCCAGCTCTGATCTGGAAGTTCCAGCCCCCATTGGGGCTTCGGTAACTGTCACATCTACAAGGCGGGCTGAGAGAGGACCCTGAAGACCCAAGATCTGGATGGGCCAGTTCTCTTGGTTCCTGGACCCTGGACGCTGGAGGTAGACCAAGCAGAGCTCTCCAGAGAACACCGCTGGACTGTGCCACACCTTTCCCAGACCCTGTTACCTATCCCTTCACTTGTAAGTTACCCCACAAAATAAACCTCCATTTTTACTACGTGGACTGGTCTTAATAATTTCACCAACAGACAGGGGCGAGCCTAGAAGGAAATAGAATAAGAACTACAATGGAACAGCAAAACAGACAGCTCACCATGTGGGCATTAGTGGAATCTAAACCTAAACCACTTCTTCATATCAAGTAGGATGGTCCAAACCCAGCCCAGCAATAATAAGCATTGCTGGGAATGTAGAAAAGCCAGAAATCTTGTGCTCTGTGGTGGGAATGGGCAATGTGAAGCCACAATGGACAGTAGTCTGGTATCCCTCTGAAGCAGAACATACAATGTGATCATCCACTCGTCGTTATTTACAAAAATAATTGGAACAGGGACTTCAACAAGCCAGTGTTCATTCTAACACTGTTTAAATAGGCAAGGGGAAGAAATGACCTCACTCCATTGATGGGCAACTGAATAAGCAAAATACAATTGTATGCCACACATTCACAAAGGACTCGGTTCTGATCTAAGCTGCAACATGGATGGAGCTTGAAAATATTATGCTAAGTAAAGCAAACAAGACACAAAAGGGCAGGCATTACAGATTTGCAATTACATGTGATACACACAATATGTAAATTAATAGGCAGACTAGTCAGCAGGGTTTCCAGGGGCCTCGAGAATGATGGTATGGAATATTATTACTTAGTGATAATGAGAAAGTTTTGGAAATGGGGAGTTATGATTTTTTTGCACAATAATGCGAGTTTAATTAATGTCAATGAATTCTGCACTTAAAATGGCTAAGTGGCTAATTTATGTTGTTTATATTTTACCATAACAAAAAATGTAAAAAGAAAACGGGACAGTTTTTTTTTCTTAGTAAGTAGTTAGTAAAATGTGACTACAGAATTCTACAAAGCTTCCAAAAGTGTCATCTATACTGATGTGAGAAATAGGACATAGAAGTGTGAAGGAAGTTACACAGATGACGACATTTCAAGGCAAAGAGTTGAGTTGTTACTGGCTTCCTGCAGCTCATAGGACAGAAAGAGAAAACACAAGGGGTGGACCATAAAAAGAACAAGGGCCAGCTGGTACTTGGATTAGACTTTGCTGATGGCAAAAAAAAAAAAAAAAAAAAAAAAAAAAAATCTAAAACTAAGAAATAGTTCCCAAGCACTCAAGAGCTGTGTCTTAGTTCTCTTGATGGGAAGAGCCACCATGATGAAGGCAAATTACAGAAGGAAGCACTTATGGGGACTTGCTTACAGTTTCAGGGGTTTAATCCATTACCATTATGGCAGGAGCATGGCAGCATGCTGGTAGGCATTGGAGTTGTAGTTGAAAGCTACAGCCTGAACCATAGGCAGGGAGGAGAGAGTGAGAGAGATGGAGAGAGGAAGAGAGGGATGGAGGGAGGGAGAGAGAGAGAGACAGAGAGAGAGAGAGAGAGAGAGAGAGAGAGAGAGAGAGAGAGAGAGAGAGAGAGAAATGGAAAGATTTGGCCTGGCATGGGCTTTTAAAACCTCAAAGCTCACTCACAGTTACTGACTTCCTTCAACAAGGTCCACCAAGGCCACACCTCCCAATCCTTCTAGTCCTTCCAAAGAGTTCCACTCCTTAGTGACTAAGCATTCAAATATATGAGTCCACAGGGGCCATCCTTATGCAAACCACTGTCTGCTGTCAGGGAAAGCTGGAGCATGCCTTTTTAACTTCCTGAGGAAACCTTGGCAAGACTGAAGATTCTATTCAGACTGCCAGTGTGCATAGAATCCATGAGAGTCCAAGAGCAAGGGTATGACTCAGGGATCCTCTTCGTCACCCAAAGGAAGCCTGGTAAGGGGTATGGTGTTGGGAACCTTGCAAATAGATGAAAAGCACTCTGTAGATAGAAGGGAAGGAGTGACTTGAGGACAGAGAATTGTCTGTGATAGAATCTAAAGTGACACCAGTGAAACCTGCTCCATCATGCTACAATCCCCTTCTCTGCAGAGTGGGCATGGCCCACGATGTCCTTCTTCCTAAGCCACTGTGGCCAGATGAGGCTGTGTCTTGTGACTATGGCAATCAGTTCATAAGTTCAGTTTGTGATGAGCTGGAGGCCACACCAGGAAGGCTGGGTTGTCAAGGGCCTGGGGCAGCATCTGGCTGACAACATAGGAGCCTTGGCACGAGGTCCCTCTGACAGAGTGCCGCAGTGATTGTAGTTGTTTTTGTTTGGGTCACTGGAGCCCTGGTGACAGAGCAGTAGAAAACGAACTCAAACGCATTTTGACGCTTGTGCCACTGGCTGCTTCATCCCACCTTATTGGTGACCTTTGGAGAACTGGTTCCCCTAGGAGGTTCCTGCTCCTCAAGACATCCATTCCAAAGAATGGATTAGAAGTAAAAAGGGTATTCATACATTCTATAGCACATGTAAAAAAAGAAGTGATGTGAAAAATCCAAGGAGACTTTGTGTGAGGCTAAGCTCCCATTGGATTAAGTCACACATTGAAAACTTTGCAGAAATCGTTAACTATGTTGCTGGCATAAGTTGAATTTGTGGAGAGAGTTTAATGCTATTTAAATATCATAAAATGTATTGGTTATTTCATATGACTGGTCCTAGAGTCCTGTACCCTCCCTCCCTTATGCCAATCATCAAACATCTCCACTGCCAGGATGAAGATGAGTTTTCCGTGATGTAGTGATGTCCCCATGTAACACAGCAAGACATTTAAGAACTGTTTGTTTAACAGAGACCAGGGTACATCAAGTATATTGCTTTTCTGAAATGCCTGGTAGTCTACTAGAAAGCATACTCAACGGAGAGGCATCAATTTATAAAAACAATACACAGTCCACATTCTTACCATTCATCTCTTTATTATTTGAAGTAAAAAATTTCCTCTGTTAAACATTCCCTTATCTAACTCCAGAAAACATGTCTCCTGTAAATGAAGAACTTGTTAGGTGTGAGGCATCTAAACATTCTAGCCATTGTTTTTAAATTCTTTTCTGAAGGCATGGCTTTATGATTTCAAGTGGACAGACAGAACACAGTGTAGTTGGCCACTGAGTTATGGAGTCTTGACCTTCCTGTCCATTCAGCCTGGGGAAGGAGATGGTGTCTGTGGAGTACCTGGACTCCAGGAAAGCATTTGCAGACAGAAATGACTTCACCCAAATGTGATACACAACATGACAATTTACAGTGTTGAAAACTTTCCAACTAGTTTAGAATCTTACAAGCCTTGGGAAAAGTACTAAGAAGATTTTTCTATATTCAGCTTTCTCACCTATCAACTGGTGTTATTGGAATAATACAGACCTGAACAAGACTATCTCAGGGGACCAATTCATAAATGACAAATCCTGTCTGTTTGTGACAGCAACCCTCTTCTCATTCCTAGTCAAAAGGAAAGAACTCTTAACTGGTAAATAAGAAACTGGGTGGATGAAGAAGCAAAATGGTCTTCCTAGTTGCTTTCAAGATGTACTCAACACCTACTGTAAAACTACATGAAAAAAACAGTGACCCTGCTCTTTGTTTACAAATTACATGGTCATATATGGATAAGGAATTTTTATGAGACTCCCTGAACCCATGACACTGAGTAGGAGCTTATATTTTTTCACTAAAAGGCACTGGAAGCCATTCAATAGGATGACGTGTGTGTGTGTTTGTGTGTGTGTGCGTGCGTGCATGCGCACGCGCATGTGTGGTATCCTAAAAGTGATGTGAACTTCATCTACAAGTTTTCACCCCCAATAGCGACAGAACGGAATATGCATTCAGTAGGCGAGAGAAAGAAAAGGAACGAAGAGTAGACCTTGGAGTCAAAGCAAATCGGTTAATTCTATAACAAAACCATAAAAACACCTTGCTGAATTTGAGTCTAAGGTGAAATGTCCCGATGGAGCACTGAACAGTGAAAGTCTTTGTGGAAGGCAATTTCCTTTGTGCTGGTACTGCACACAGCTCATGGGGGATGTTTGCTTACAGACTAGAGGGTAGAGGGACACAGTCTCCCCTACATTTGTTCTCGCTTGCCTATACACCACAGTCTTTATCTTACCTGCCCTTATCACCAGGACCTGCTAGGATTTGCAGCTGCTGAGACAGGGCTAACTTAACATCTCAACCACCATTCTCCAGCAGGCTCACGTTCTGGGTGCACAGAAGCCCAGCACATAGGTGCCCCTGATTCCTGAGCACCCAGTAGCATGAGAATGGATTCCCTGAGCCAGTTCAAGCATGCAGAGAAACAGGACCAGAACGAGGCTCCTCATGGGAACCTTTGGTCAAAATTGAAGGATGTCAGAAAAAAATAAGGTGTGGGTTAGCTTAACAGAGAGGAATGACATAGACAAACCAAGCTAGATCCCAAAGTGAAATCGGCCGCACTGATGGCAGGAAGCATGAGGATGCTGCCGTAGGAACACAGAAGGCACCTACCTTTCCTCTCGGTTCTGACCCACACACACGCGGCCTCCGTGCCTGGGTGTGGGGTTGCTGCAGGAGCGTTGCCGCACCTGGAAGCCAATGCCACAGGTAGTGCTGCAGAGCGACCAGGAGGTCCAGGGAGTCCAGCCTCCATTCCTGAGGAGAAGGACGTGATTTAATATCTCAGTCAAGCCAGCTCAGACTCTGGGACCCATTGGCTCCTATTGCAAATGCCTTTGTCCCATGGGTGGACTATTAGATTGTGTGGAACCACAGCCTTTGGACAGAGCAGACTGGTAACCTCTGTTACTGTGGGTCCCTTAGAGTTGGCACCTGATGTGAAAGCCACAAATCATTCCTAAAATACTTAACTGTTTGAAACAGTTAAGAAACTTTAGTTATAAAAAATTTCAAACTATTAGAGTAGTATTTTACTGCAAAGTATTAGAAATGAATCCTAAACCTATAGAATTCTAAATTTTACTTGACTCTTATCACATCCATTATAACCTGTGAACAGTATCCCTGAGATAGGAAAATCATTGGAAGTCACATCCAGCAAATTATATTAAATTTAACACCCCTAAACATGCACAACCCTATAGGCAGTGTTCGTGCCCAGGACAAGTGGAATCTTCTTCAAGATTTCCAGCCAATTTTGATAATAACAAAGGGGGATATATTTAATTCAGAATCATAATTCCATATGCAACTGTACATACAGAATGATATATTAAGAATAAAAGAAAAGCAAAATGACCCTATTTCACCAAAGTTACTCACAAAATATATTGCTACTGACACACAATACTTCAGTAGTGTATTTTTTTCAGAAAATGACAATATATTCAAAGTCTTTGTAATTTAAATATCTCTCTTAGAAGTTTTCTTGTGCTATTAAAATAAGTTGTAAGTATTTTATCATTTTTGAGCATTAGAATATTCATTTTATTGCTTGATCCAAGCTCTAATACATATTGCATGTAGAATCTCTATTTTTTTTAAAGATTCCTTTATTTATGGATTTTTTTCCTGCAGGTACATCTGCATACCAGAAGAGGGCATTGGATCCAATGGGACTACAGTTATAGGTGGTTGTGAGCCATCTATAACCATGTGAGTGCTGGGAATTAAATACAGGATTTCTGGAAGACCAGCGAGTGCTCTTAGCCCCCAGCCATCTCTCCAGCCTCAGAACTTCTATTTGTTAACCACAAGGGCATCCCCCAGGCATCCTGTATCCTCAGCTACTGGATTTCCATTTGCTTGGAACAAGGTCAGTTCATACCAGCCTTCATACATTTCCTTAAGAACACAAAAGTATGTAATGGTAACACTGAAGACATAGGATTAAATACATAAGCTGAAATAATGAACAAATTATTTAGTTAAAATGAAACTTCCTGAGATATTTTAAATACGTTTTGTAGTTTCCCAGTTTACCAGCTGAAACCTAACACTGAGAGAAACGAAACAGATACCGTTCATCTAGTGCATGGTAAATTGTTGATGGCTGATAATTTAATTAAAATGAGACTGATTCTCCAATGTTCCTCATAAAAGTAACAAGCCAGTTTCTTACTCCCCTCTACCCACAGCCCTATACACTGTCAAAGTAATTCACTAGATTATTAGAACTTTCCAACTTAACTTCAACCTAAATTAGATATTTCTGCTTTTAAAGTTTTTCCACCTATGAAGAAAATTGTTAGATAACCCAGAAACACGCTGATTTTCATATTACTTTTAAATTTTAATTTCCTAAGCTTTTAAAAATATATGAAGCTTTATGATATATTTGATTTATAATATGAAGAACATGTTGCATATGCAACAGTAAGTAAATAACAGTATCTAAAATTGGTAGGACTATAGGAAATCGGGAGATAAGGGAAGCCAGTTTATAAGTAACTCTTTATTATCTGGACTTAGCTTTGCATACTTCTGGAAGCTGCTGAGATGAACTGTCAGGCAATCACAGAGCCCCATGAAGTGATCACACAGAGGATGGGGAGTTTTTACAATGGAGTCAGCACATGGTCATCTGCTTCCACTCACACAGCATCACGGAAACAGGCTGACTTACTAAGATTTTAATCTGATGTAAGCTGCACTGTGAGCTTGTTTAGAGGGTGACTTTCCAACAGGAACTGCAGCCTGAGTGATAAACAATTACAACCCAGAGCTCTACAGTCTTTCGGTGATGAAATAGCATGAAACAACATCACTGTCATCTTCAAATCCAGTAACCTATGTCAGGCTCCTGTCAGGCACTCATGGAATCCACCTCCCTGCAGAGAAGTTATATGGAGCAAGATGCAATGTTGACACACCTGTGTTTTCTGTTTTATTATATAGTCTTATCTTTGTGGCCCTCCTTGGCTTCTTTAAACTTTATGGGGTAATTGAATTTACCCTATGAAAACTGTTGACAAGGACGAGGCTTGCTGTTTTCTGTCTGCACATGCTGCTCTGACCACCCTTCCTGGGCATGTTAGGTCTTCTTGACTTTCACATAATTCGATAACCCAAACCAACCCTCAGTCAGTGGCTTAGGACATAGTTTCCCTTACTGTTTCCACATTTTAGGCTCTGAAAAGTGGGTAAGATGTTAAGGGATGGACTGTTAATCATGTGAAGAGGAGGCTTGAACCTTGACTCAAGAAGCTCTTCTGATGCTGTGGTGTACAGGGAAGCAGGCAGGATAAATAAGTGCAGTCAGTAAAGAACATGAGGCAACTCAAATGACCTCTGGAGATCACGACATCTAGGTGACCAAGTGTCTGACGTCAGTAGAGCTGGGGTATGCTGAGTTCTGATCTACTGCTGCATAGAGCAAAGTTTCCTTCGAGCTAATGTATCATGCTCTACCAGTAGGGATTATCAGTCATGTATTTCAGAAAGATATTAGGTAATGAGCATTTAAAGAATCCAATTATATTGAGTAAATTAGCAGTGTTTTCCTATCTAATTATGAGCTTATAAGCAATTTTAATTTACAACTTAACTTACAATTTAAAATTTTCTTCCACAAATGACGTAATGTCATGGGTGGAAGTGATGGGTGTCCCTGTCTTTTTGTCACTTCCATCTACTAAAGGGATGGCTTGTATTAAGAGTTGTTAATAAATAAAGTTGCCCAGGGGTCAGAGCTATTAGCAAGCCGTAGGAAAGCCGGGCGGTGGTGGCGCACACCTTTAATCCCAGTACTTGGTAGGCAGAGCTAGGTAGATCTCTGTGTGTTCAGGGATACAGCCAGCATTGGAGACACATGCCTTTAATCTCAATACCAACCATAGAAAACATGGAGGTCTGTACAGACAGGTAGTGACGAGGCAGTCATGTGGTTGGGTTTACAACCAATGAGAAGGCAGAACCGAAAGTCTTTATAAAGACTTTAACACAGGAAGTAGCTCTCTTTTGGAGAGGTAGGACCACTGCAGGAGGAAGGGTAAGGTTTTAGCTCTTAGCTCTGACCTCTTGGCTTTCTTCTTTGCATTGGTTTTGTGTTTCTTATTTAATAAGACGGTTGGTTACATCTACAAAGAGTGATTGCCCAGATTTCTTAACCTTCTGCAGTGACACGTGACTGTACAGTAGAGTGATCTGAGGCACGTACCTGGAACAGTTGGTGATCTCCATCCTAGGGCCCTCACACTGCCAGCCACCACACTGTGGAGCCGGACTGTCACAGGCACGGGACCGGCAGAGGCAGGATCCCACAGCAGCGCCATCTGTGTGTGTACAGGATGTCCATGGAGACCAGGGGCCAAAGCTCCCGTCCACAGTGAGATTTCTGGTCTGGAAGGCAAATACAAGCAATGGTGTCAGAAACAGTAAAGCTGTGAAAAATAAAATGTCATGAAAACAACAGATGTCAAGTGGCAATCATAACTCTTCCAAAATCCTAAAAAAATTAAAATCGGCCGGGTGTGTGTGAGAACATTGTAAAGTCATGCAGCATAACTCACTACTAGAGATGATGAGAAAAATGGTGTAGAGAGGAAGAAAAGGAAAAGGAGGAAGGAATGAGGATCAGGGGGAGAGGCAAAGAAGGACTGTTGAAGAGGGGGAAGTGGAGGAATAAAGGCTGACTCTGGAATGAGGTTTTGGCAGAATGGCCCACCAATGTAGGAAACCCAAGGAATAAGAAAACCCCACAGATGTACACATCTGATGCATGGTTTTATACACCTTAAAAACAACAAAAGCCTATGAAGAATTTATCCTGGTTTATCCCAAGTGTTACCTCAAAGTGACAATGTTTGATGCTTGGCACATCTTAGTGTCCCTGAGTAATGAGAGAGCTACAGTTCTCAGGATTATTCTTGTCAAGGCTATGCTGTGATCACCACTTGGAGTTGATACGCTGGCCAGGAAGGGCTTGGCATGTGTTCACGACCCCGTGTGACTGCTACTAAGGGCACTGTAGGGCTGTGCTGCCAAGGATGGACAACAAGCTTGTAGGGTACTTGTGTGGAGTTGTTCAGAGTGGAAATGGACCAGGAAAACAGCTGGACTGGACTCTTGATGCCAAGGACAGCTTGGGTGTTGACAGAGAATAAGTATGTCGGAGGTGCACACTGCTGGGTTGTTCCCTGTTCCTGAGAGTCATTGGCAGATGCTTTATTGTCACTGGGGATGGAAGAAGGAGTTCAAGGCGGTGACACTGAAAAAGAGCTGAGTACACAGTGGGGGAGACCCCTGCAGGTCACTGAAGGCAGAATGCTGGGCTCTGGCCTCGTCTGGCATGTGGTGATGTGTTCCAGTGTGGTTGGGACATCAGGGTTTGAACAGTGAAGAGTGAGCAACTTTCCTATATATGTAATAAGAGATCTCTTGAGAAGAGACACTCATGGGGCCAAAGGTTAGGTTCCTTGTCCAAGGTCTTCCTTCCAAAAGGGAGCAGAAGGGATTCAAGTCCTAGCCTCCATTTTAATGTGAAGACAGATGAGTCTAGTTTGACCACAATCTGATGATGAACAAATATGTATTTTCTCTTTCCACTTTCTGGCTTGCAGCTGTCTTCTCTGTCAGTCATTATGTGAAAGGCATCAGCCTCAGAAGGAACAGTATTTTTTTTCCAAGATAGGGTTTCTGCATAGTTTTGGTGCCTGTCCTGGATCTTGGTCTGTCGACCAGGCTGGCTTCGAACTCACAGAGATCCGCCTGGCTCTGCCTCCTGAGTGCTGGGATTAAAGGTGTGCGCCACCACCGCCAGGCAGGAACAGTATTTTTAATCTATCATTTTCTAAGTACTATGGGAAATATTTACTCATTATTGTGGTGGTTTTCTCTGACATGCTGGCTGATCACAATGTATTGTAACAGGTATGGCTCTACAGTGTGGTTCTCTACTCCTTCTCTTTTCTAGTCAACATTAATGGTTTTTATTTCCTAAGGTGGGTAGAACTAAGCCCTCCCACCAGTCTCCATTGTTTCTATACTAACTGTGGCCAGAGGGAAGGTCTCGAGCTGCCCCATCTGGGAGCAAGCTCAAACACAAGTGGATAAAGAAAGGTATATTTCCCAAGAGGAAGCTTTTTCCTCTCCGAGGTCCCTGTAACACATCTGGCCACAGGTCCTGCTTGGACCATTGGGTTCCATGGTAACCATGTACTTCTAAGGAGAAACATGCCTTGCACAACAAGATGATTCAAACCTCTGAGTTGACAGACTTTCTTGTTAAATCAGCAAAGGTCCTGCTTTGGATATTTTCCACATTCATGCTCCAACTTCCTCCTCGTACCTGTCCATTATTTAACTAGGTCTATGTTAATAACCATACACAGACTCTTGCCCGCTTTATAAACACTTACTCTTGTTTTTAATGTAAAAATCCCAAGTCTCCTGTTCAGGGAACAGACATTGATTAAGCATGGCGATTTGTGTCATTTCTATACACATAACCCACACAATCCTGGCTATTTATATAGGTCATTGCTGCCATTTCTAGAAGATACTGACTGTCTGAGACAGGTGGAGTTGCCCTGGGAATCTGCAGAGTCAGCTCTTCTCCTCCACTGTGCCCCAGGGTATTGAACAGGGGTGAAAGTCTCACTGACTCTACCATGTGCCTACCAGGTGTGGGGAGATTGAATCAAGGAAATGAGAAGTGATAAGAACTATCTACCCATGAGGTATGCCAGGGGCTAAAGGAAACAGCATGAGTGCACTTGCCAAGCAATTAGCTCAAGGTTTCCGTGAGTAATAGACTCATCACCAAGAAGAATGCTGCCGTCCATTCTGGTTTCACAGATGGATGAGGTAGACACACTGCTGCACTGGAGTTTTTTGAGTGTCTCCAGGCAAAATAGATTGGATGACAGGAAATTGTTCTCAAGCGTCAATAGACCTGGCTAGAGGCATTTTTGGGGAAGGTGAATCTGGAACAAAAATTCTTACTATAGATAAGAAGATAAAGGAGAGCCACTGCTATTGTGGGTATTTTCACATTGGAAATACTGTATAACTTTAAAAATGATGGACAGGGTTATACCATTGGCTAGCATTGTTCAGAAATGGAACAGGGGGCATACTGAGCTATTAGTGAGCAGATAAACTATGAAAGAAGGGACTGTAGAGCCAGATCTGTATGATGCCTGGTGGGGGTCTCTGGTTGCTCTGTGCATTGCAGACAGGTGCCAGGACCTCCTTGCAAAACCAACTATACATGAAAACATTACGTCACAGCTCTTCAAATCTGATGCAGAAACCTGAGCAGTGTGAACCTAAGTGAATGTATAAATCAAGACAACTTCAAAAGCTCCACACAGTAATACACAGAGCACCAACATTCAGACAGTTTAACAAATTATATTACTATAAATTACTATAACATTTTATATAAAATGGCTCTTCTTAGTGTACAGACCTATTCTTCTGTTTATTAGACTCTGATGTGTTGGGGGAGAAGGAACCAGATGCCTGCAGAGCATTACTTCTATCTCAGGGAAAAGCAAGTCTACAAACACGTGAACAAATGGAAAAGCCCCAAAAGTCATGTAGCTACATTGTAGGTGGGGCGTCACACTAAAGAATACACACATGTGACTGTCATGACCCTTCCACCCAAAAAGAATGACAGTCTATAGGATTGTACCAGGAGGTGACGAGAACAGAGAATGTTAGGAAAATGCTGCAGAACCCAAGGACCAGCTGTGCAAGGAAGTTTAGCTATCCTAAGCTCATGGGTGACAAGGTAGGTAGGATGGCTGGAGGCGGGTGAGAGTCAGAGCTAGACAGGCACTACCGTGCATAGCCTTAGTCATGGAGTCATGGAACCCCTGGCAGAAACACCTTGAACTGAAGAAGAGCAAGGAAGATAAACCCCAGGCTCCCTCTGCCTGCCATGGCACTTATGGCTGAATCCAGGACAACACAACACAACACAACACAACACAACACAACACAACACAACAGAGGTGAAAGGGACAGGTTGAACAACATACACCAAGGAAGGGCAGGCCTTAGCATGGAGAGCTTGTGGAAGAAACTGAGCTCCTGGGCACAATTGGTCACTTGTGTATATCTTACTTCTCAGTTAAGAAGAAAAGGGTAATACAGGTTAAGGAAGATTTTTTTTTAAAGATATCTGAATCCTCTAAATGTTAGTCAGAAACTTCAAGAAGAGATGACTGTGGCAAAATTAGGAGATTAGGGGCAGAGAAAATTCATTCTAAGTTCACCTGCACCGTGTTTCTTCTTGAAAATACAAAGGTGACGGGCAGAGCAGTGACTTGGACATTTATCTGTCTGGGCGCTATTCACAGCAAAATCTAATGGTATGAGACCAAGAAGAAAGAAAACATAACAGAGACAAAGAAGAGAAAGTGGAAAAGGAAGCCATCCAAAACTCTAGCCCATGTACTTCAATGTATCTCTTGTTCTGTAGGGAACATGAAATTCTCAGTTCTGCAACTCAAATAGCCCTGGACAGGATGCCAGTTAGAATAGACAAGTTCTATGAAAGAAACACTCCGAGTAAGAAAGGCCTGGGACTCCTTATATACCAATTATTGCCCAACATTATCCAGGGCAAACATTAGCATTTAACCCCAAGGCTAATGGTGGATCCCAGTCGGTCTAAGACAGTCATGGTTTGAATATAAATATTCCAGACTCACACGTTAAAAACTTGGTTCCTAGAGCATAGCACTATTAAGAAATGAACGGATCATGAGGGCTATATTATTACTAATGGATTACCACATCAAGTTTACTACTCAGTGGACTGTAAGGAGGTAGGACTATTTGCACAAAGTGGGTCAGGGGTAGAGATGGCAGTCTTATCCCTGGAGCCCTGTCCTCTTCCTACTTGCTGACTTCCACAAGGTTTAGCAGCTTTGATCCTGCAGCATGCTCTCTGCCCTCATGGCTAGCCTTGCCTCAGGCCCAGAATCCATGGATGCTGGTGACTGTGGACTGAAACCACTGGGGCACAATACATTTGTTTCCTGTCAAGTTTGCTCTCATAGTTACTCTGTCACAGCTGTGAAAAGGTAAGTGACACACAGGGACTCCTTGTGACTTCAGTCAGTGCTGGCTCTTAGGATGGACATAGGACCTAATTCTTGTGAAAGACTCGGCAAAGAGAGTGCATGGGGCATCTATAAAACCTATTTTCCTCCAGCTAAGAGAGAAAAGTGTTTCTGCTTTTTAAATTCCTTCTGCTTTGAGCACTGGCATATGAAGGTAGAACGGAATGTGACATTCACCTTTTATGTCATCCTAAAATGTCCCTCGCTATTTCTAGGTGTCCCTGGCAACCATCCTCCCCCTGTTTCCTACCAAGACTCACT